TACCTAAATTCTTTAATTGGCTTTATAGATTCAAAATTTCAAACTTCTATTTTTTGATAGCTATCCCTTACCAAAGGAGTAGTTTAAAGAGGGAATATGGTCAACGTGATGAGCTTCCTCCTACTAGGCGCAGAGGTGTTATAGATGATGATTCTAGGGTTGTCCCTGATAGACGTTCCTCATACAGAGAAGAATATTCTTCTTGCAACTCTGGTTACTTTGATTTTCCTAGAAGCACATCTCGTACTGCAGCAAGAGGACCCTATGCAGATGAAGCATATGCTCAAAGGTTTGAAAGACCAAGTTACCACGAGGGGCGTGGCTGTGATTATGACATTATGTCTAGTTCAAAAAGACCATATGCCGTTATGGTTGGTCTTACTGCCCTTTCAAGTAATTATATTGGCTTTAGCATATGATTAACAAATTTCCACTTGTTAATGCTATGATCTTTCTTGTTGAAGTATCAGGATGATGTCCCTCCCCGAGATGTTGATGTGGGTGCAAGCATTCAAGGGCTCGCTTAGATTATGAACTTCCTCAGGGTGCTCCTTCATATGAAGATGCATATGGTGATAGGTTTGTTTCTTAGAAGCTTTCTTGTGTTTATTCTCTTCTTTCAGGAGCTTTATTTATAATTAGTCTTATTGTGATAGGCTTGGCAGATCCAATCTAGGATATGGTGGCAGCAGGAGTTCTATGTCTGGTCAGGATTCACATGGTCTGTATGGCAGTCGTCAGGGCATGGGCTATGGTGGAGGTGTGTTCTAAGTTGCTGCAGATATATTAAAAAAGAAAAAGGGGTTCCTCTTGGATGGGTGGTCAGTGTCTTCTCATGTTTTCTGGTTTAATGTCTTAAATTTTGATATGTTTTTCAGGTTCTTTCATAAACAGTGACATTGGAGGAATGTACTCATCCACTGGTTATGGTGGTGATTACATGTCTAGGGGATCAGATGTATGTCCTTTTTCCTCCATTTGTTTAATATTTTAACATACTAGCCTATATTTATGTACTGTTTCTGCTTTCATGGCAGATTGGTGGTAGCTCTTACTCATCCATGTACCGTAGTCGTGGTATGGGCGGTAGCAGTTATGTGGGTGGTGGGGGTGGTTCTGGTACATACTACTGATGTAAGTCGAAATTGTTTTTATCTTATTCCTTTTCATGTTGTACTCACAGAGTGTAATAAAAATCTTTAGCAGTAGTGTGTTTGTAATGGAGATTAGGGCTTCCTGAAGTTGGTTTGTTCGTTCTTCTGAGAGGTGTATTAGCAAGGTGAATTTGTCTATGGAGCAGATTTCAGAGACAATGAGGCAGCTGTAGGATGTGGAGAATATAAAGCTTTTGGATTTTGTCCCCATGGAATTGGATAGAATCATTCAAATTTATAGCCTCCATACGTTGTAGTATTAGGTTTTGAGGCTTTATGTCTGAAAGAGGAAGTTTGCTGATGCTATTTCTAGTTTCACAAACAGGTTATTTGTTGTGAGTATTCAAGTTTTATGGTGTAAGGAAACCTAAACTCATTTAGAGATGAAACAGACAGTGCTTAGAATATGCTGTGTACAAACAACATTATTTGTTTTGTATTTGAGAATCCTACCAATGGATAATTTGGAAGCATTTATCACATACTCTACCGGGCTTGAGTATTTGAAGGAGGATTAAGCTATTAATTAACATTTGGTTACAGATTTTGGAGGCTTGACGTGCTGAACTCATCAGGTAAGTTTGATAAGGTAGGAAGAAGGCATTAATATCTTTACTTAATGGTGATAAGCACAATGAGATCAAATGATACATATAACTGAAGGTTGTATGAAATCCGCGGAGGTTGCTCATGTATGCTTCCTGCATGTTGCATTTTCTGAAAGTGGTGCTAGCAATATGCAAGCCAGGTGGAAATTGAAGGACTTGCTTAACCTTACCTCTTAAAGCTCTTACACTGTAGACACATACTTTGAACTTTTACTTCGGCTTTGTTTTTCTTTGGGAATTCCTGACTAAGATGCATGTAATTGATTTTAGTAATGGACATGGTTCTTTAATGCCTGACATGTCTGATTGTCTGGTCAGTGTTGCATTTTTTAGTTTTTTTTGGTTGATATCATTCTTCAGAATTTACCGTGTGTAATTCCTCATATTTCTGGTTTTGGGTTGTCCTTGGCCTGGTGGAGTATGGTAGGAAAATATTTGTACTTAAGGACCAGCAGGAAAGTATATGTTTCTGACTGAAGGACCACTTCCTAATATTACAGCATCTGCTTTTCCTTTTCTGTAGTTATTGTTTGAGAAAGCTACTCATCCGAACGAAAAAGAAAGGTACTCCTTACACAATTGTGCTCCTCAACTTGAGTCATATGGATCTCGGGGAAATTTTCTGCTTCTCATGAATGAATACATCATCAAATACTTAAATAGTTGTTGTGGGAAGTCATTGGTGGATGAAACCTTATAACTAGTTGGAAGGCGGTGTTTTACTAATTAGTCTTAGAAGAGAATGATTTTGGAAATGCTGAATTCTAACTGGTTCAGAAATCAATAAAGCTGTGGGTATTTGTGCTGGTGATTTAGAGATTGTTCTTTTAAGAAAGCTTACTGGACCACAACCCTTAGTTGGAATTACACCTTGTTACAATGTGTAGAAATCGACTTTTACAAACTACACTTGAGAATGTGTGAGAGTGACGTGCGTTTCTTTCCGACAAAGTATTATAACAACACATAAGTTACAATTCCAAGTTTATGCGAGAAAAGCGTGTACGGTCTTTGCAAGACGTTAATGTCATATCTACTTGGACTTGGTGGTGGTTAGTGATTTTGTTCCATAGGTGGTTTGTTCTATTACCTGGTTATTAGTGTAGGAGCAAAATTGATAGTAGTTTAAGAGGCAATTGGTTGTTTGGGTCTGCCTAATAAGCTTCTTCACGGTTAAAATCTTGATTGTTTTTTCCTATCTTACTTAAGCTGGTGATAGAGGGAAGATAACTACTTAGCTTTATGCTTATGCTTCACGAGTTTGTTGGAAATAGTCTAAGGTTTCCGAAGCGAGGAGCGTGCTTAACATGTTTCTGTACTTGAATACTGCCTGCAATGTTATTTTATCTCAACAGCTATATTAGCAGGGCAGGCATTCTTAGCAGCCCAGTGCAGTGCTTTGACACAATGTTGATGCTATTTTGTTTGTTCTTGGATTCGTAATGTAATCAATCATATTGTTGAATGCCGCAGTGAATATCCAATTATCATGCTGTATATTGTTGAATGCCGCAGTGAATATCTAATTATCATGCTGTATATTGTTGAATGCCGCGGTGAATATCTAATTATCATGCTGTATATTGTACTTTTTTGGGGGGCTGGTATGCATTTCTTTGGGAAAGTTAGGCAGGCAAATTCTTAAGATCATTGGTTGTACCTGTGTTTGAGGGTCCAAATCTTTTGTGCCCTTTGGGATTGGCATTCGAAAAAGACAGGATTACAAGTGACAATTGATTAATAAAATGAGGGGATATAGCGTAACGCCTTGTATTCACGAATAGTGTAAGCGTAAGAAGAGAAGCTGTTTTTGATGAATGCAACTTATTTGTTTTTGTTCGGATGGACCGACCTGGAAATTTCAACTCCATATAGTTTAGCTTTTTTTTTTATTTTATTTTTTGTATATTCCATTAATGATCTACTTTCATACTTATTGAAATTTTGTAATATCGTACCTCTAAAATCTTTAGTATAACTCTTTAAGTTAGCAAAATCCTATGTTTGTCCTTGAACGAGCTTATGATTAACAATAATTCGAAGGTGGTTTAGTGACTTTACATCTGAAAATGCAAAAGCATAATTTTAAAATGCTTGGTCGGTCGACAGACTAATATATAAAGTACTGGACATTCTTTTTACTCCTATAAATAGGAGGGTATAGAATATTTTAACATGTTTGATTTTGTAATATTTCAATAATAAAATCAATCAAGTTGAATTCAGTTATTTTGAACCTACTTTATCAATTAAATCTGTAAAAATGACTATATTAATTGTGTTGGTAACCATAGTTCAATTTATTATTTGAGAAAAATACCAATACAATAGTCATATGTGTATACATTGTATATAAAATGCATGCAGCCATGGCAAATTTCACTCGTTAGATCAACCAAGTTGAGAAGTTGTGTTTCCGTTGTTGAATTGTACTTGGTTACAATGTCAAGTAATTGATCAAACCGCTGATCTATGAATCTCACGACAATCTTCATAACGATAGAAAACATACCAGTCTAGTTCACACTTCCTTTCAGGGAATTGTTGAGTGCGGAGTATGGGGCTTTTCATGTAAGTGCATAAATTTTATTGTTTGGTTTATTGTTCAGCGTTTTCAGTTGGGTTTTGCTTCTGTATACATAATTCACATTATTTTCTTCGTTGTGCTCCATGATCTTTAGCTTTTGCCTGATTGTGCTCCGCATCTGTTTCCTATATTCTTGAGCTGTTGTCATCATTGTGCTGGTTGCCAATTTTATACGTAACTCTTGGGATTCTCAAGCAAATCACATTGAACATGTATGTAAGGCTTTCATCTCAACATTTTTCCAAATTGTTTGCATGTTAAGTTACTCAACAGCTATTTTCATTCCTTAATATCATCTCATATGAAATTTACTGCATATGTCTTGGTCACAACTCACATCCTCTTTTCATGCTTCTTTCAGCCCCCAATGTGCACTGATCCAAGTAATAGTTGAAGCGCAGGGGACTGTCTTTTAAGGATGTTTTCCACAAGAGGCTTGCCCCACTACAATTAGAGGATGGATCACAAGAGTTGGTTCCGGCTCGGACTTCTTTATCAGTTGAGCGAACCACAATGATTGTAGAATATCATAGTCTGTGCATGGTTATGTTCTGCCCGAAGAACATATTTTCTGTCACTTGGGGGGGGGGGTCATTTTCTATACACAAGTTCAAATTTTAATTGATATTTTCAAGTTTTCAAGTTGTTTGGTTCATAAAACATATTTACATTTATAAATATATATTACAGGTAGTTAGAATCAGAATATTCCTCAGCACTAAAAGCCACAATCATGAACCTAAAGAAACAGGAGACATTGATAGCCAGACTGTAAAGAAGAAACTCCCACCTGTACACAATACATAAGCAATCTGAGATCCTATACCCCAAACTAAAAGCAAATTAGCCACAACAAACCAAAAGAAAAAGAGAGAGAGAGAGAACATGTGATGTGGGTTCATTCTGCCAGCCCAGAATGCCTACACAGGTGAAGTCACTATCATTATCTTTGTATCTACCTACAATTCAGAACTAACACATTAAATCAAACACCTTAAGCAGCTAATTGTTGCTTTTGATGGGAGGAATCTTCTTCATTTAAACATAGCTGTAGTTTCAGTGACCTTCCAAGGCTTAAAGTGGATTCTGAAATACTTTGAGGATGTTGCAGCATCATCTCTCTTTGCAGGTAGGAGTAGTAAGCATGGAAGGTATTTGGGGTTACATGTAACTTGAAACCCAATCCAAATAGAAAATCTACTTCCAAGAAGTTCATTTCCATTGTGTTGATCCCTCCTACTTTTGCATAGTAAGCATTGTTGTAGTACCTGAACTCCGAGATAACGTTGATTTAGGGTCAGTTTAGCATTACATGTAAAAAAGGGAAGAAAACACGAAAGGAATATGTAAAAGAACTTGCATGTCATCCATGAACTTTGCAGCGACCATCACACTCGTGATAAGCAACCGATGAACGTTGTAGGAATTGATCGGCAAAGAGGGTTGTCTTTGAGAAAACCGATCGAGATAAACATATGCAACAATGAAACAGGAGGGGCTGCAGTTTGCATACTTGTAAATTCTGTCGAGGTAGTTTTGAATCGAGATAAACGGCCGACTTAGGCCGTGGAACACTGAAATTTTCTGAACCTCAACCCCACAGTTTACATCATTGGATTCAGCCACTTTTTGAAGAAGAGAAGACAGAAAGGTTATGAGATTGGGCATCATATTTGGGTTCTCTAGCTCTGCCATAGTTGTAAAAAGAATTTTGGACCAAAACTATGGTTTTATAAGGTCTCTGTCCTAGCACAAAAAAGTGTGGGATTATTAAAGTTCCGAACCTTATCTTTCGAAAGCCATTTGGAAACAAATATAAAGTAAAGGTGGTTCATTTTGTGGGGATTAGTGTCATTTTCCTGACGTTTCCTGTTATTAAAAAACTTGTGGATGGCTACTGTTGTTGTGCTGATGATAGAATTTCCCATGTCCATCATGTGAGTGCATGTGGGAAAATTGTTGTTTGTAAATCTGTGGGTCCTATTGTTTGGAGATCTTTATTTTCATGCGTTGTAAAAATCTACAGAGTTAGCTACGACCGAGCTGGAAGCTTGTTTTTTGTAGGGCTGTCTAGTTAACTGTCAAATTCTTAATTTAGCATTGCCTATGGGATTAGACTCTAGAAAGTGGCTGGCTGTTTTAGGTGCTGTCCCAACCCATGAGCTGTCCATGTGAGCCCACTCATACATTGCAAGTCCCACATAATGTTGGTACCACAAATATATTAATACAACTCTTACCTAATGAATACAAAATCGTCCGCAAATAGATCTTTACGACATTTACGATGTATTAATCGATTAATCAATTAAATATCATTTAATATATTAAATATAAATAAAATCTAAAACTTAGTCATTATCCTTGCAATTTACTTACTTGTATCTTCTTATATATGAAAATAAATCTCTTGACATGATTGTTGATGAATCTATATAATCTATCAAAACCGAATTCATTGTCAGTTAATCATATTCACTCAATCTATCAGCTTACGAGTAATTATGATGATTCTAGATCTACACCGACACTAATTGTCATTATAAAACCTTCAGTCAAGAGTCAAAACTGGTTGTTACCGCTAAAACCCAAATATTTACCATCAACAGAATCCAAGAAAAACAATGCCAGCCTGCATGCCATCGAGCTTAATGCATGATAGTGGGGATCCTGCGGCCTAACAAATATTATGACCCTTTCTTGGGATCTTTTGTACTGAGATTTTAATTAATAAAGCATCGAGAACGAAAGATTTTAGTTATCTGTTCCATCTATCCACAAGCCAAAACCGTACTGAAAAGTTGACTAAAGCAGAAGCACATGCAATTGGGGCCGGCTGCATTTTCGTTTCATCCTTGAGACTTTATAGGGACAATACTATTATCACCGACGGGGCTGCATTTGTATTCAGCGTTTTGATTATTTATAATCACTAAGAAGATAAGCCGATAGTGCTGGGATTCTTTTAGTCGTAGGCTGATGGCCAATTAGGCAAGAAAAGACAGATGTGAAGCATGTGGGACTGTGAGCCGATCAATAGAATAATACCATGAAAGCCTGTCAAAGAGAAAGTGAGAGAACCGTTAGCTCTAGTTCCATGAGTTTAGGTGATAAGCAAGGACACATTTTGATTACAAAGCAAGGAATTCATCATTCCTCCGTAATGTATGCTTTTGTTTTATGAGCGGAAACGAATAATCACTTGCAATAATCTGTATCATCCGTCTTTCTTTCAGGTTAAAGGCCTGCTCACCTCCAATGTCAAAGAACATGTTCACAGTTTCTGCCTTTCTGGTGCATCAACTGTAATATTTTCCAATTTGATCCTTATTTTCTTTTACCGTATTAATCCCTAAACTTGAAACATTCGGCGGGTTTAAGGAGTCACATTCGGATCGCCCAAACCACCTATTATTAAAATTCAAAGTTACTGCTCATATCAAATTAAGTTCATAATCTAAAACGGGATTAAATCATGACCATAAGAGTTGAACGCAGATTATACAAAATTGCAACTCCAAGGTTAAACAATATATAAAACTATAAAATTGAGTTTATGGACCAAAATACCCTCGATAAAGATTTTACCAACATACATGCCAACTAAAATTAATAAGATGTTGTACTCTAAATTATTTTGACTGGAAAGTATCGATATTCGAACAAAAAAATGTATCAACTGATACATAAAATATAATTTCAAACATTAAGTTGTAATAAATAGTGTGCAACTAATCTAACTCAACTGATAAGTATGGGTACATGAACGAAATGACCAGTTTTTCGGTTAAAAATTTGTCATGGTTGCTGATCAATGTTGACGTAAATAATATTAAATTTGAATATGATAGTTACGGAAAAACTATTAAATAGACCCGACTCACCACGTCGTCCGTGGTTCTAACCAAATAACATTTTTTTCATTTTATTTTTTTAAGGTGAATCTTCACCTCTTTCCTTCGTGTAAATCACAAGTGAACAGTTATTTAGAAGTTATTTTAAAACGATGGATGTGATTCACTGAGACCATGAATAACGCGATGAGCCGAGACAATAAAATAATTTCTCTAAATTATGACATATGAAAGTGCCTCTCGGAGAAATTATTAAATGGTCCCAACTCACCACCTCATACATGATCCCGACCAAAAGTATTTGTTCATATTATTTTTTTCAATGTAAATCTTCACCTCTTTCCTACATGTAAATAAGAAGTGAATAATTATTTCGAAGTTATTTTAAAATTTGTGGCTCTCATTTACTAGGACCACGGATAACGTGGTGAGCCGAATCCATTGAATAATTTCTCGCCCCCTCCATTTCAGAAATTTCTGTGGATGATGTCCATTGAACAGATCCCAACGAATTGTTTCTTATTGAGTAGATGTATTTAGCCGGAATTGATTGACGGAGGGTTTCCGTGGTATGATCGTGGTATAAATTTTGTTTCGGTGTAAAATTAGCAGGTACTTCGATGATATTATTATGGCTTCTCGGTGGCAAGAAATGAGATGGTCTTCGACAACAAAACAATTAAGGTAAATTATTTAGTAGGCCATAGAATAAACCAAGTACATATGCAGCTCATCAAATTGTAATAATAATGATGATGATGATAGCACTGCCTCTTCCCTAGGCCAAGCTCGTGACTGCAAGAACGCACCCCAACACGAGCGAAAAGCCTAGCATCAAACCATTAGTCATGATGGTCCTAGGTGCTGCTCCGATATGATGCGGCTGCGGCGGCGATGACGTGGAGCCCCTTGGTGGTGTACCAGAAGGAGTCGTCGAAGTGACATTGGCTACAACAACATTGATGGCTACCTTCATGCCTGAAGTGCAATGCCCTGATACGGGGCATAGAAAATACATCGGCCCGGTTCTGGTGGAGATATGACTGTGTTTCCATCGCTGTAACTGTGGAAAGCATTTGCAATGCTGCAACGATCGTAGCTACTTTGGGTTACTTCGTCCACCCGGTGAGCGCTACTATCATAAATAAACACTATATAACATACAAAACGTAGGGATCAAGGATGCTTCTAAAAATTTTAAAATTCTTATATATATATATATATATATATATCATTAATAATTTATTTTTTATTCTTGAATTTTTATAAACTCTCATCTTAGATTAAAATGATGTATCCATTCCTATTACGTCCATATTTTTTTATGAGAAAATAACCTCAGTGACCGAAAATGCCTTATAATATACGATTTTGACCAACTTTTTTTCGATTTGCCAAAATGACCAACAAAATCGTAATGCGATCTCTAAATCGCAACGCGATCTCCAGTATCGCAAATCAGTTTCCAGTTTCGCAACGCGATTTTGACTATCGCAATGCGAATATGTAAATCGCAACGCGATCTCCAGTATCGCAAATCAATTTCCAGATTCGCAACGCGATTTTGACTATCGCAATGTGAATATGTAAATCGCAACGCGATCTCCAGTATCGCAAATCAGTTTCCAGATTCGCAACGCGATTTTGACTATCGCAATGTGAATATGTAAATCGCAACGCGATCTCCAGTATCGCAAATCAGTTTCCAGATTCGCAACGCGATTTTGACTATCGCAATGCGAATATGTAAATCGCAACGCGATTATGACTATCGCAACGTGATTCTGACTATCGCAACGCGATATCCGCGCGGACGTGTCAAAGACACGTATTACCACGACCACGACCACGACCACGAGATGGGACGACGGCGGCGGCGGTGCGCGAGAGTCCCCATTGTTCTCTTCCACTCAACAAGGAAGTGGGAAATCCAAGCCTTAAATACTCATTCCCAATAGTGTTTCCAATACTATGTGAGATTGAGCATTGCAAACACTTGGGAATCTTTTACACTATCGCAACACATTCTTTATTGTTTCAAACTAAGATCTTATAAATGGCTTGGGAATCTTTTACACTATCGCAACACATTCTTTATTGTTTCAAACTCCACGTGAATTTGGAATAGTTAAAATGTAAACTTATTTTGGATTTTTCACTATCGCAACACTTTTTCGCTATCGCAACAACACGTTTTTCAAACTCTCGCAACACATTTTAACTATCACAACACATTTTAACTATCGCAACATTTTTTCAAAATCGCGTTGCGAATTTGGAAACTGAGTTGAAAAATTAGAGCTCGTGTTGCGATTTTGTTGGTCATTTTGGCAAATCCAAAAAAAGTTGGTTAAAATCGTATATTATAAGGCATTTTCGGTCACTGAGGTTATTTTCTCTTTTTTTATTAGGGTAAACCACAAAATATTATCACTTTCGTTTAAGTTTTATAAATTTCTCTCTGAATTAGAAAAAGTATAAAATTTGGTTCCTTTTGTTTCGTTTTAATTAAGATGTGGTCACTGAAAGTTAACAGTCATTAAACCTTTAATGGTTTCTTGATGTGACATAGTAAATATATAAAATTAAAATTACATCATTTCCACATAGATAATACGTGGATTAAATGTTGGTCACTTTCCTTTCATATTTGTGAACTTTTAGTGACTTGTGTTATTGTTTTATTAAGTTTTGGTCATTTACCTTATCATTTTATTAAGTTTTGGTCACTTGGACTTTGATTGTTGTTAGTTTGATGACGTGACCTGTTATTAAAATGATGCCAATTTATTATTTTTGCCCCTATCGTATTTTCACATCAATTTAACACTCAAAGTTGTTTAATTGCATCATTATATAAATTACCCCTAACTTAAAACCCTAAATTATAAACCCTAATGTAGGGTTTAGGTTCAAGATTAAGATTTATGGTTTAGATATTTTGAGTTATGATTTAGGGTTTAATATTTATAATTTAGGGTTTAAGTTAGGTGTAAGGTATAGAATGATGCAATTAATCAACTTTGAGTGTTAAATTGACGTAAAAATATGATAAGAACGAATATGATAAATTAGGTCTACTACAAGTGCAAAAGTTACCCTTTTGCCATTTTATTTTAACCCCTAAACTTTGAATGCGACTAGCTTTGATCATACAAGTACTAAGTGAACGTCGGTTCAATCTTCGTAAACATCGCGAAGGTCGATCACGTTCGGAAGCAAAG